ACTAACGGGTCTGTACCAATGTGTGAACAATGATCGCGGTTGTCCTTGCTAGAGCACTGACAAAATTGGACAGGTCACTCCCCAAAGGTCATCATACGAACTACGACCGGGATCGAACGAGCCACTTACTGTGTTCGAGCCATACGCTTCTACTTCGTGGAATACGTTACAGCATCACGTAATGGACTTAAATAGTCATTAAGGTCATGACTAATAACTGCTGCACTGATGTTGATCAACGCCGATCATAGCAAATGTAGCGATTGATTCCAGTAGGCAGCTGCATAAACAATTCATTAAATCAATCAGTAACAGAGCAGTGAAAATAAAATTCTAATGAATAACCTCAAAAAGAACTGTGCCATAGCGTAGGTAGGCAGCTGTGCTGTCATTCGGTTGAATATCACGCTTAACCTATCGCGGCCTTATGTGGTTCGCCACTCCAAGTCCTGGGGCTTAGGTTGCCGGAAAAAATCATTGAACAGCACGTCTTCGTGACGATGGGATTTTCTCCGTCTGCTGTTCATCCCACAAAAGTGTGTAATAAAAAAGGAGTACCTACCAGTGATTGGGAGTGGTATTAACTGGTCAGCAAAAGCTCAACCTGGTGGGATTGAATAACTTGTATTTCTGCTGATATGATATTGGGAGGCCAGAAATCGCGAGTGATGGATCACGTAAAGAAAAAAAGAATGATTTTGTTGTATAATGTGTTTCAACAGTTAGAAATTCTGAACAGTAAGCTATGGCACACACAGAACGGTTCCTACTGCTATGCATCACAATAGAGATGAGGAGCAAGATTTCTCCACATAACAACTACGCAACACACACACACATTCATAACAAAGAATAAACAAATTGGAGTGATCCTGTCAATGGGGCACACATTCTGGTATTCAACTAGCTACGCATGAATGGTGTCTTAGCCTCAATCGACCTGGGTTGTCTTATCACAGAAACATGTAGTAGCTCAACGCGATCATACGATAATCGAATTTCGAATCTATGCTCAGAAAAGTGCAATTCTTAAAAATATTTATATGTTCGAAACCAGGATTCCCTATGGAATTAGGCACCTATTTTAAAATGTATGGTTCGCCAGCTCACGTTGCACTATTTACATGGCAATTGGGTTGTATAGGCAAAATGGTCATTTAGACTGTTCAGCATTTGAAGGGCGGAAATTCTGTTACTACCCCTATGGTGACAACACACAGACTATAATCTGAAAGCGGCAAAGTAACTGGATGTGAATCTCTATAAAGATGAGACCCGAATCAATCGAGTATGATCCACCGGTATCAAGTCAGTAGTACCTTTGTGCCGAACATGATGTCACTATGCCTGGAACCGTTGCAGATCATGGTGGATGATATGTACTCAGTTCTGCAGAGTAAATAGTCATCGCTCCGAAAGACGCAACTTGTTTGTCGTCTCAGCGTACGCACCTACAAACTGTGGCCCAAATACAGTCAAAGATACTTTTTACCAAAAGCTACACGACCTCTTTCATAAGGCAAATCGGCCTGATATCGTGATTTTAGCGGGAGATATGAATGCTAGAGTAGGCCAACTGACTTCGAATGAGGCGCATCTCGGTGCTCCATTCGGGCTAGATTTCTGTCACTCGGAAAACGGCTGTTGACTCTATATTCTGACCACCACCTATTCCTCGTCGGTAAGAACTTCAGACGCTCCAATTGCCGATACGCCACTTGGCGTCCACCCTGCTCGAATCAGCGACAAACGCAGATAGACCACATAGGTATAATGGCGGGGTTGCATTCAACTCTGCCGATCGTACTGGAGCACTACCCTCGAAACCGATCACGCACCAAGCTATCCGTGTGCTTCGGTGGGCGTCCTAAACATACGGTACAGCGGCGGTTAGACTGCGATAAGTTGTCTCAACCAGCATGCTTAGCCGTCTTTCAAAACGCACCAGCTGAAAAGCTAAAACCAACTGATACCGCCAGTGAGCACTGGTCGCTTATTAAGAATGCTGTGCATTCTGCTGGCTTAGTTACTTGTGGTCTGACACGCCGTATCGTGATACCCTGGATTTCCGCTGAGTCCCTGCGCCTTCTTAATGCACGTCGGTCACTTCCGATTGGCAGCGAGCATAACATAACACGGCTTGTAATGAAACGTGAACTTAACCTAAGCCTACGCAGAGATCGCGAGATTTGGTGGTCTCAACACGCGTCAGAAATGGAACGTGCTGCTGCCATGGGGAATTCCCGTAAGCTGTTCATCTCATCCGAGTCACCGGTAGGAAAACTTTGGGTGTGAGCGAGGCGATCTATGAAGCTGACGGCTCACTTATTCACAATCAACAGCGACATCTTGAACGCTGGGCGGAGCACTTCAAAGCAGTTTAGCTGGCCACCAGCGTCAGTTCTCGCACAGCTATTCCGGCACACGTCCTATGGTCTGTATCAAAGAGCCACCCTATGAGGCCCAAATCCTTAGGGAAATCCAAGTCCTGGGACGTTATAAAGGGCCGGAATCCGACGGCCTTCCCCCAGCTCTATTTAAAGATGGTGGAATGCAGCTTGTTAGAGAACCCCCCGTCCTGTTCTCTAAAGTTTGGAACACTGGGTAGGTCCCCCTCCTCGTGGGGGGAGTCGATTGTCGTCCCCATCGTTAAAAAGGGTCCGTGCAATGATTGCGCCAACCATATGGGTATAAGCCTGATATCAATAGCGTCAAAGCTGTTGGCGTCCGCAATTCTCCGCCGATTGTACACTACGCGTGAGGAGCAGGCTGGGTTTCGCATTGGTCGTGGATGTATCGATCAAGTCTTCATCCTCCGACAGCTGCTAAAGCACCTACCTACCAAAGATCAACGATCATTGTATTCTTAGATATCCGCGCGGCCTTCGACTTTGTAGACAGGACCGCACCATGGAAATGTTTATTGAGGAATGGAGTACCTGAAAAATGTCTCGATCCTCAAAGAGTTGTATCATCATACCTCAGATCGGGTTAGGGTTTATGGCCAGTTTTCACCACCCTTCACCGTCTCTAGTGGAGTTCGACAAGGCTTCCCTACATCCCTTTTCCTTTTCAATTTCACCATAGAGGATGTCCTGCATGACGTTGTCCGGTTTAGCAGACGGTGGAGTCGAACTCCTCCCAGGGAACAGAGTTCTTGACTTGGGATATGCCGATGATATCGCCTTGTTGGGTGACAATGCACAGGCAGTCCAACAAGCTTTACACCACTTGGCGATAGAGGTATCCAGGTATGGTATGTGCTTTGCCTCTTCCAAGTGCAAAGTGCTGGTTCAAGACTGGCAGAAGCATGTGCACTTACCCTCTGTGGTGATCAGCTGTTAGTAGTTGAGAGCTTTAAGTACCTCGGGAGCTTAATCACAGCTGGAGATGGGGTTGGGGAAGAGATCGCATCACGAATAGCGAGAGCTAGAGTAGCTTTCGCCAACCTGCGACACCTGTGGCCCTGCCATGACGTCCGACTTTTCATTAAGGGTAGGGTTTACATCGCCATGGTTCGTAGCGTTCTCCTTGACGGTTGCAAGACCTGACCCCTCCGCGTTGAGGAAGCTAATCGACTTTCTGTATCCGACCACTGGTGTCTCCGAAGCATTGCTCGTGTCTAGTGGGAACATCGGGTGAGCAAGGACGAAATTCATCATCGTGTTCTGGATACTAATAGTGATTCTCTAACAGAAGAAATTGTTCTACACCGCCTCCGATGGCTCGGTCATGTTTTGCATAAGCCTGCCCATCGACTACCTTTCCGTGCTCTCTTCGCACGTGCTGGAAGAAGCTTCGCGGCAGTCAGACCATGACATGGCGTAGAGGTAGAATGAAGCTGGCTTCGGTTGATGCAGCCCGCCTTCCAGGTTGAGTCCCTAGGGATGAGGATTGTCGTTGGTTAGAGACGCTGAGAGATGTGACCCAGAATAGATATCACTGGCGCGAATGCCTTATGTTGTCCGCCGGCTTAGGTTACCTCTTTCCATCACTGAACAGCGGGTCTTGGGAACTATGGAGTCCACCCTACCTGTTATTCATCACCTAATAAAATAAGGACCACCCGTGTTCCAAAACTCTATTATTGCAAGAGTTTGAGAAATAATCTTTTAAGCAATACCGTGGTTAAGCGAAAAATTTTAGGTAATCGCGGTCCTGCACTGGAGCGAATGCTCGACCATAGATTGTCTGGGGCATGCTTTATCCACATCCCGATATGGGCTTCCTCGACGCGCCATATTCACCGAGATAGGTAGTGGGTGAAGGATGTCAAGTATAGTCAGAATGACACTTTGCATGAGGGTATGAAACTCTAACAGGTTATCGGTCACAGATCGCATTAGGCTTTCAGTTTGGGAACTTGGAGATGAGTCGACTCGTCGATTACAGATACTGATTAATTGGGCTTTGTCGTATACAACATCTCCCCGGCATCTACTCACTTTGCAAATTTCATTTAATTGTATTCTGTATCTTT